GATGATAAGAGGATCCATAACTTAAGGATTAAGAACATAAAAGAAGAAGTAGGGACACAAACAAGTGAACTACAAAAGCTACTCACAGAATTAATCCAGGAGAATTTTCCTAATTTAGCAAAAGGTAAAGATACTCAGATGTATGAAGCATACAGGACCCCAGCCACTAACAACCCAAACAGAGCAACACCCAGGCATATAATAATCAAAATACCAGAAATCCAATATAAGAACAGAATATTAAAAGCCTTCAGAGACAAGAAACAGATCACTTACAAGGGAACACCCATCAGAATTACAGCAGACTTCTTGGCACAAACCATCAAATCATGAAGAGCGTGGGGGGAAATAATTCAAGCTTTGAAAGATAATAACCTCCAGCCAAGATTGATATATCCTGCACAACTATCCCTGGAAATTGATGGAAAAACAAGGTGCTTCCAGGATAAAGAGGAACTAGGGGAATATGCAACCACCAATTCAACTCTGCAGAGAATACTGCAGGATATTCTAAAAAAGGAAAATACCAAGATTCCAGAAATAGTGGCAGAGAGTCCACAATGAATGGGGCAGAAAACAAATGAAAAAGACAAACTGACAACTAATAACAGAAAAAGATCTCAACAGAAATGAGGCAGAGAAGACTGGATGATAGGAACAGCTTATTTTGCAGAAAACCACGTCATAATAGGTAATGCTGATTTAATATCATCTTGTTTTGAAGTCCCATCAAGCTTTTGTTCTTCTGTCTCCATAGGTCTTAACATGTTGTATCTTATTAGATTTTATTATATGTGATAGTATAAACAAAAACTTTTATAGACAAGGAGATTATACAGAAACCATTGTTCATTTTCTGTTAGTTGATTCGAAACACCCTGTAATACTGTCATTCTCTTGAATGGTTTTACATTGTTTTGATATATTTATGCTATAGTATACGAAGTTATACTCAAAGATTTCAAGGAAAGAGACAATATGGTAACTACTTTTATGTCGGGATTATCCTGTGGTGAAACACTATTTTGCTTAAATGGTTATGTTTTGATCTGCACTGTTTTGTTGTTATGCCCTCTTCTATATCAATCTCCATTTTATTATTTACTTTTTTATTTTTATCCTTTTAAGGGAAATATAAAAAAATAGCAGGATATATTATAGTAACCCACTTTGATTTTCTATTAACTTGATTTGAAGCCCTGTATTGCTCTCACCATCTTGTTTTGACTGATGTTCCTCTATTCTGTTTTGCTTGATAGTACCAGGTTCGAAAGTCTAGGCAACAGCTGTGAAGATAATGGGATTCATTATGATGCCCATTCTGGTTGACTATTATCTACTTTTAAAAACCTGTAATGTCTCCAGTGTTTTGGTTTTGTTGGTTTCGTTCTTTACTGTTTTGTTCAATTTTATTATAACTGATGATATAGGCACTTCTATTTGAGATAGCGGGAGGCATTATGGTAACCATTGTTGATCACCTTGTATTATGTTTTTACATTATCTATTATGTCCACCCTTTTGATTTGACTGACTCTGTTCTGTTATGTCACATTTGGTTTTACTCTCTTCCAAAAAAAGTAATAAGAACTGTGGGAGTAATAAAACCCAAAATGTGTAATAGTCATTGTACAAAAGAGAGGAAAAAAAAGTGCTCTAAACGATATAACTGCATGTATATTTAAGTGTATAAGATAGATAATGATATTACTGAGTTTTGTTGGATCATTGAACAGAACTGTTTCCAGTTTCACTGTTTGAATGTCCACTTTATATGCTTTAATTTTGTCACTTGAACAAATATTTCTAAGGTGACAGTATGTAATCCATTAACTAGTGATTTCCTACTGTTTATTTTTTTTCTGAAATTCTGTATAACTTGTACCCTTTTTCTGCTTTTTTTTCTTTTTCTCCTTAAATAAAATTTTTAAAAAGTTAGGATTTTGAGTTCAGTAAATATTACTCTTCCGATTTCATTCTGAATCAATCAAAAAATAAAATATAGGGCTGGGGATTTAGGTGTGAGCACCTATCTGACAAGCACGAGGTCGTGAGTTCAATCCCTAGTACCAAAAAAAGAAGAAGAAGAATGAAAGAAAAGAAAAGATAAAGTATAAAGTCAACACAGGACAACTATCAGCTTTATCAACACACAAAGCAGACACAGGCTTCCTAATACAAAAGATCAGTTAAGCAGAGACATAGTCCCTAAGTCTTTATTGGTAGCACTGGACAACAGAAAAGCCTCCCCAAACAAGGCAGAGGCCCCAAAGAAGGCCACTGGTTCCTCAGAGGAAGGTGACAGGTAAGGGATGGAACCCTTGAAATGGCCTTCTAACATCACCATCAGGTAGGACCTGTCATCTCCACTGCAATGGAGTAAAGGAAGAGGACAAAGACCAGCAGTGTTCTCTTACAACAACTGCCTTCATGTGGAAGGACACGTCAGAAATATTGCAGAAATTATTTCCCACCCACTCTAATCCTAATATAACCCGCAGTTTCTTCTTTTGCCCCTTTAAGTCTGGGATTAATCAAGGGTGTAGCAATCACAGATGATCCTGCTTCTGCCCTCCAGTGGCCACTCTCCCAGTGCAAACATGAGAAAAGCCCTTACTTGTTCAGAACCCAAGAATGGACTTCAGAGGCAGGAAGAACAGCCAAAGTCAAGCTTTACTGCAGTGTCAGTCTTGCAAGCCCGGCTGTTCTGAAGGACAGGCGCACATAAAATGGTCACACCATGCTATTTAAAATCTAGCACACAGACAGTACCTTTCCTGTTACTGGTTGAGTACTAAGGGAAATGCAGTCCTTCCCCAGATGAACCTAAGGTTTCATCACTTCTTTGTAGGGTAGCTCTCCAGTCCCCTCCCAATTTTAGCTTGGATTTCTTCAGAACACTGCTGCCTGTTCATTACTCTGTGTCTCTCTGAGAAACAGATGTACCTGGGTAGTGCTTTCGTGGGACCTTGCAATTACACTGCTGTGTTTCTCCTTAGCTTTTAGAAAAATCTGCTTTTCTTTTCATGCCTGCATTCTACAAAGGCGCTCTTACTTACTGTTTTTATCTTTTCCTCAACATCCTATCTGCCCAGAAACTCTCCAAATACATGAACTTTGTCAGGCAGCTAGAAAACTGCAGGTAATTTTCCACTCAGATTTTAACTCTTTCATATTGAAATGGACCAGTTCTGGTTTCTTTGTTCTCTTACACAAATCACTCTTCTATTAAGAGGTTCTTGGAATTTCTCAGGAGTCTCTTTTTGCTTGCAGATGATTCTAAAATGGGTCAGAACAGTAGATTAATTAAATCAATGATGACAACACTCTAAAAACATTGCTGAAAATTCCTTATTCTTGTCTCCTCAGCAAACTATGTTCAGCTACAGTGCCAACCTAACTTCTCAGTGGTTCTTCAATGAAATTAAATCACATCATTAAAGGACATTTATAAAATGGAGTCTCAAAATTAGTGACATATATGAGCTACTTTGTAAAATATAGTTAAATTTAAATGAGATTATAGAACTTCAACTCTTTAGGAAACCCAAGGAATCAATGATGGTTTTTAATTTTGTCTCTGTGCAATTGGCTGAATAGAATATGTCTTCTAGTTTAACCAAAAAGATCAAAATTATATATAAACATTTAAACATAAATATAATTATAAATATGTAAATGTAAATATTTAAACATAACTATAAATATATATTTTATATAGCTATATGGTTATATGTAGTTATATATTTGGTTAAATAATATATATATATTCAGAAAGCAGATTTCAATTTCAATTTAAATATTATCATGGCTATTAAGATGAACAACAAAAATTACATGTTAAATGTTCAAGTTTTCTTTTAGAAAAAATAGCATTTTTCTCAAGTTCATTTTTAATATTTACAAGTGCAGATTTTATATTATATAATAATACAAAGTATGGTTGAAATATTCAGTAAATGTTTAAATTTCTAAAAATTATTACAGTAAGAGATACATGACCATTATCCCCCTCAAAATATGCCCTTTACTTCAAATTCACTTAACCGTACATCTTGCCACTTTTTAAAGAAGTTCTAGAAGTCTTCTTCTATGGATGTTTCATGAGATGTGATAAAAAATTTGGTAAATGTCACACTAAGTGCCACCCAATGGAAAGACAGGCTCATAAAAACGTTATGGTGTGTCTTCGTTCACCTATTTCACTGAGGCTGGCACCATGTGACTTCTGGTTCTTCTTCAAACTCAAAATGACCACAGAAGGTGGAGTAAATTCAGGACATGGAGATACCCACAATGACACTCCTGAAACATAACTTCCAGAACTGCTTCAGAAAGTGGAAGGAAGGATGGGGAAAGAGTGTTTACAGCAAAGGACACTATTTGGAGGGTGATTAATAGCAATGTGCCATTTATTGTAACACTTTTTAAATTTGAACATTCACTGTATTTTTAACCATACCTCATAAATACTTAACTGAATGAAAAATAAATGTTTTCTTCTTATTTTCCTGATTTTTTCAACTTACAGAAAGACATGTAATTTTTAAGTCAGTCATGAAGACAAAATCTTGAAGGACTGAGATTAAATATAAAATACAAAAAGAAGGAGCCAAGTGTGGTGGCACACGCCTGTAATCCCAGCACTCCAGAGGCTGAGATTAGAGAATTGTTGCAAGTTTGAAACCAGCCTGGGCTACGAAGTGAGCTTCAGACCAGCTTGAACTGCACAGCAAGATCCTGTCTCAAAACAGAAAGAAAAAAAAAAGACTAAGATTGTATCTTAACAAATGGTAATGCCTATAAGGGTCATGTAAGTTTTCATACCTATACTCCAAAGTAGTATACACATGTACCTCTGTGGCATAATTTAAGCAGGCATTCATCTGTAATATGAACATACATGTCAATGAACTAACAATATCACCAGACACCATTATCTTCCAGAGTGGCTCACTAGATCAGACCATCCTCCCTGAGTCAGCTCCTCTTCAGACACCATGAATTCTCCTCTGTTACTTGCCAGAGAGAGCCAGAAGAGCCAGAAGAGCAACAAAATGAGGTAAGATGTAATTTCCACTATATTGCACTATTTATTTAGACAAATGCTTGATTGGTTAACCCTAATGGTAGCTCACAGACACTAGGTCCTGGGTATCACAGAATATTATTTATGGCAATGCACCACAAGTAACAACCTACCCTCTCATAGTTTCTAGGGGCTGGCCAAGTCAAACTGGATAAATCCTAGACTTCTCTAGCATATCTCACCCAAACCCTGAGTTCAGTATCAACCTGCCCACTAAGTGCAGGCTTCCAAGCCTCATTTACACAATCTTAACAATCTCTCTCATTTTTCCCTTCCATTTTGAGGTGCTCAAGAGAAATGCTGAATGTAGGAATATATGAAATTGAAGGTCACAGGAACATAATACCACCCAGACATTGCCTTGACCTACTAAGTCATATAAAGAGGAAATCTAGACCTTCAAGGTATGATATCATAGGAAGTTTCTAAAATACCTTAACAAGTAAACATTATAATTTAAAACATGGATATGAAAGAGGACTCTGATAAGATTTAGATAAACGTCAAGCAACCAACACCAAAAATGAAAAAGGGGGGCTGGCAATTTAAGTGTCTGCCTGGCAAGTGCAAGGTTGTGAGCTTGATCCTCAATAGAGAGAGACAGACAGACAGAGAGAGAGAGAGAGAGAGAGAGAGAGAGAGAGAGAGAGAGAAATAATGAGCATTAGAAATAGAAAAAGAAGAAAACAAGCAACAGAGAGGGGAAAATGAGAGTTAATAAGAAGGGGAAAATGAAACAGCAGTAGAAAGAACTGGAAGGTAAGCAGAAATATACTAGACAGACTTGATATGTACCTGAGAGTGGAAGAAATCTGACACATAAGAGAAGTACAATGAAGATTAACCATGAACATAGTTACTCCCTAAAAGTTATACTGGTAAGATATGAGAATGACAATTACAAATATTCCTTCTCTGAAAATTAAAAAAGAAGTAGATTTACCCCTAGAGGCAAAGGAGTGGATCAAAGTTCTCTGAAGGTCTTCACAGAGGTTAAATTTGGTATTTTCATAGACTCCCTTTCCAACAGAGATGGTTGGATTATTTTCTCAATGTGCATATCCCTCAATTGCAAACCAGAGGAAAGACTGTCTCTTGCTAAGAAAGCATACAGGAACTACAACCACATCCTATCTTTGGCTCTCATATCATGGGTGGTTAATGCAGCAGCAGCAGCAACTGCTGACAGTGAGTTTGGGAAAAGGTGGATGACCAGAAAGAGTCAGACATGATTGTCTCCAGTAATGTGAAAACTACTGAGAATTAGAATGTTTTTATTTATCCCGAAACTTCGACATTCACCAAAAGTAAGTATACAAAGACTGAGCACATTTTTCTTCTAGAAAAATAAACTTTCAAATACTTCTCAAGGGTACTGTTAGTATGATCTTCTACAAGTTAATATCTTCTATTAGCTAATAACCCTTAAACACTACGTTTTTTATTTTTATTTTTATTTTTTTGGTTTCTTTTTAGGTTGGACATGAACTCACTTTGTAGTACAGGCTGGCCTTAAATTCATATCTCCCCATTGCTGGGATTATAGGTGTTTGCTGCCATGCCTAGCCCATTCTGAACTTCTTGAACCTTAAACCTTTCCACATTTAATAAGGTCCTCATTTACAGCTATATCATCTTTTCATTTTTAAATGCATTCTGGTTATTGGCTAGTCCATCAGCAATGAGGGCACTGGAACAGATACAATATATCAAGAAAGGCCTGATCAAACCAGAGGAAAATACAGCTGCCTCAACCTAAATTATTAATAGTATGATTTTATGTACATAGCCTATGGTATCCATAGCATTTTCACTCCATTACCTAACAGTTTACTAGTCTGTACTAAATTTCAAAAACATTTATCACCACATATCTGCCATGTTTTCAAATTGGGTTTCTTGGGGCCAAGGATTTAGTTCAGTGGCTAAAGCGCTTGCCTATTAAGTGTGAGGTTGTAAGTTCGATCACCTGGTACCAAAAAAAATTGGGTTTCTGTGCCCAGCTGAATAACTTAAAGTATCTTTCTCTCCTCTTCCCAGCCCCCCTCTCTCTCTTTCATGCATTTTCTGTCCTTCCTCCTCAAGTGGCCCCCATAATGTAGACCTACGGAACAGCAGCACTGTGACACAGTTCACCCTTGTGGGCTTTGAGCAGAGCTCTCCCTCCACATAAGCACTGCTCTTCACCCTCTTCCTAGTGCTCTACAGCCTTGCCATGGCCATGAATGGCCTCATCATCTTCATCACTTGGACAGACCTCAGGCTTAACAGCCCCTACATGTACTTCTCCCTGGGTCACCTTTCTTTCTTGGACATCTGCTTCATCACTGCCACCATCCCACAGATGTTGGTTCACCTGGTAGTCAAGAATCACACAGTCTCTTTTGTCTCTTGGATGACACAGATGTACCTGGTCTTCTTTGTGGGTGTGGCTGAGTGCATTCTCTTGGCTTTCATGGCCTATGACCATTATGTCGCTTCCTGTTACCCAATAAGCTACATGCAGATCATGAATCAGGTCTGTGTCAGGTTGATGGGCTTTGCTTGGATCTTTGGGTTGATCAATGGTATCTTTGTTGAATATGTATCATTCTGGAATCCCTTCTGCAGAGACAACATGTAGAACACTTCTTCTGTGAGGCCCCCACAGTGATTGCACTGTCTTGTGATGATCCCCAGTTTAGCATGAATTTGATCTTTATTGATGTCACCACAGTGCTGTTCAGTCCCACAGTCCTCTTTGTCACTTCCTATGTCCACATCCTGGACTCCATCCTCCTCAAGTTGGAGAAAAACCCTCTCAACTTGTGCCTCCCACCAGACTGTGGTCATCTTTTTCTACACTTCAGCTATGTTCTCTTACATGAATCCCTGCAGCACACATGGGCCTAACAAAGACAAGCCTTTCTCACTTCTCTACACCATCATCACCCCCATGTGCAACCCCATCATCTACAGTTTGCGCAACAAGGAAATGAAAGGAGCCGTGGTGAGGGCCTTTAGGAGAACCACGGTGGCCCAGGCAGAGTCTGTCTAGCAGGAAGCCCCTGGAGAAGAAGCTCCTTCCCCCAGGTTGAGAGGAGTTTACTCCTTGCCAGTCCTTGACAAGTAAAGGACTCTCCAATGCTTAAAAACTCCAGGGAAAAAGCATTCATGGCTCTTTTTTTTTTTTTTTTTTTTTTTGGCACAGAAGTCAGACTTGTGGTGCTTCTCCTGCTTCCTAAGATACATCCCTCTGACCCATTTCTAATACTGCTTTGTCTTAAGCCTTCCTTCTTTTCTGAATTTTTCCAAGTTTCATAACAGGATTCAGTAAGCAAGTACACATAATTATATTTTATTTTTTAATCTTGTCATTCCCTAGCCTGAATTTTAGAGTAATCTCTCTCTCTCTCTCTCTCTCTCTCTCTCTCTCTCTCTCTCTCTCTCTCTGTATCTCTATCTCTATCTCCCATTGCCTGACATCTAGTGTTAATTCCCAGATCTTCCCTCACCCACTCTACTCTTACATGGAAAGAGTATCTGAAGAAATAACAAGACAGAATTAGGGACCAGATAACAGTATTGCATCAAATGATAGAAAAGAAGAAAAAGACAAGCCACCTGAATGTTTCAGACCCGCCAGTCAGTGATGGAGAATTTGTTGTCACTAAATACCAAAACTGCACTCAATGTGTCTAGTTTATGTGTTGTAAAAGAAGTCACTGTGTTCAGCTTCTCCTAAAGCCTCTAGTTTTCTTTAGTAAGATGACTAGCTGATACTTCCCTTCCCATCCAAGCAACAGGTGCACCTACAAAGCTTCTAAAGCTACAAGTTTCCTGCCCTGTTAATGAAGTATGCCCCCTTCCCCTCACAGCCTTTCCTTCTTCCATTTTTCATTTCATTTCTATGCAAAACTGCTCTACCTTACCTCCTCACCTTAACAATATCCATTTCATTTCCTGTCCTTTAAGAACTACTCTCCACTGTTACAGAAGTCTTTCTATTTCAACAACTCTCTGGCTTTCTCTAACTTCTTTCATCAAACCCAGCTTTCTTTGAAAGAATTATACATTCTCAGTGTAAGGAACAGCACAAGACAGAAACAAGCCAAAACTACCTTGTGCGAAGGTAACACGGCATGGAATGTATTGTGCCTGAGTGCAGGCAGACAGATGAAAAGGCTGTCTGTAGGGAAAAAAAGAAGCAGGTTTTTTTAAAAATAGGGCTTGAAAGAAGACAAGGGACATTAAGTGGGAAGATCTTAGTAAACATCAGTGGTCAAGGATTTCTGGATGTCTTGTGTTTTTAGCATGTAAAGTCCTTGAGTCATCTGTTATAAATGTTAGGGCGTCTTCAGATGTCTGGGTGTTTGGGAGATTCATGTTCTGTTCTATCTCTTTCATGAGGATGCCCATGTTTACCAAGGGCAGCCTCATTGTTGGGCTGAGAATAATGCCACCACTAGCAGACAGGTTGTGTACTGTGGGCGAGCCATGTCCAAACCAAGCCTTACACTTAACAGATTGCTTTGTTTGGAAGCTACTCTTCTATGCTTGTTTCATAATAAATAGGGAAGAGATGACAATGGCTTATTTGTTTTCCAATCCCACTTCTAGAATATCAACACTAAAGGGAAAAGCCAATGGACATTTGCCTTGGAGTTTGACCCTTGCTCATATTCTTCTGTGCTCCATAATTATGAGGCCCATTAAATCCATTTACAGTACAGAACACTCCTGATCAAGGGGCATTCAGCCTCTTGAATAGAAAATCCTGCACAAACATGAAATGGACCAGTGACCACAGACTCAAAGGGCCAATCCTGAGAATAGCAGGCCCTTAATTTCCACATTTTCTTTAACTACTTATAAACCTTTATTGTGTAAGAAAGAGTTGTTTTCAGCACTATGAACCCAAGGGTGCCTCTCAAGTCTTTGTCTTGAATGAAGATTGCCTTTGCTGCAAGTTTTTCTCCCGCTGTTCTTTTATTTCTTATAAAACACTTTGAGATAGGCTTAAATAGATTTCTACAAGTTGCACACTGCATATTAGCCTGTACAATAACTTAAAGCAGTAACTTTACTCCACAAAACTAATCTTCTGAATTAAAATATTGGTGAATCTCTAGAAATAAAAGAATGTGAGAAACTTTTCTTAGCAAAGAGGAAGAAATGAGACACCACTACTACGAAGAAAAAATAATAAACACAAAACTTAAAAAATAATAAACCAAAAGAAATTGTACCAAAGTTAAGTAGGCAAGAACGTCTTTAGAACAAATGTAACAGGAGCTAGAACTCAACTACGCTAAAGTAAGGGGCTGAGAGATTTTCAAGAGCTGCCTTATGTTCACTGATTGATCTTACCAAGTAATGGAAAAACAAACTTTCTTCCCATATCTCTTCCCCCCCCCCACCCCGCTTGGTACTGGGGATTGAACCCACAATCTAGCACTCACCAGACAGGTGCTTATGCTGCTGAGCTAAATTCCCCGATGCCAAAGCAAACTTTCTTGTTGCTACAAGACAGCAATGGTTTTATAATTTGAAAAAACAGGCCCATCTACTCCCATCCAGAGTCTGAGACATGGGGAGTCGGCACATAGTTAGACATTAATAGGACTGATGGACAAAGAGAGTGAAGGTATCCAAAGTAATATGCATCCCCAATTAAAGAAAGATTTCAGTGTGTAATGCATTATAATCATTTAAAGGCCTCACACCCCAAGAGATCCCACGGAGCACAGTGATATTAGATTACATTACATATTGTGCACATTTTCACTTGGCCACTTGGCCCTCTAACTCTAGAACAAGGAATACTACACTGGCTGTGACAGCAATGACCTAATTATATTGGGAAAGGAAATGTTCTTTAAAGACCCTCTTGTTTTGGGCTAGGACCTGGCTTAAATTAATGGCTTATCTTTTGTAAAGTTCTCACTGGATCAAAATCCCTGAGGAAACGCTGACCATCTATCTAAAAAGGACAAGAAGGAATTTTGCAATTTCAAAGTAACTTCTAAGTAAAATGATAATAAGCATCATAATTATACTACTTCCCCTGACATCAATAGTAACTTTTGAGTCCATAAGTGAAAGGGTTTTGGCCCAGACAGGACACTGTAGCCAGGAAAGCCTCAACGGGAAGCAGGAAGCCCCTATCTCCCCGCCCCTAGGAATTTACCTATGACGCCATCTTCCCGCCCCTGGAAATTTACCTATAACACGAAACCTAGGATCAATGGGCTACCTGTGCATCCCTAATGCCCTCCTTAGGTTCCACCCCAAACCGAGGCTACTTACATACCCCCACGCCACGTGTCCGCTGGAGAGATCACCAGATGCCAGCAGTGGGGGTGCGGGTGCTGGTCATCTCTCCGTGTTCTCAGAATGAAGGCCTCTTTTTGTTTTATACTTCTCATCTTTTGGAAATAATCCTATCAATAAGCATACACAAATATTCACATTCAATGCAGATGCCTTCTTGGCATGGCCTGCTTGCTTTTTTTTTTTTTTTTTTTTTTTTTGCTTATGTTTTGTTTTGTTTTTGTGGTACTGAGGATTGAACTCATGACCTCATGCATGCCAGGAAGGCACTTATGTCTCTGAGCTAAATCCCCACCACTGTCTGCCTTTTTGCTTGAAAGAGTAACTCTGTATCTACTTTATAATAAATTCTATCTGTATTTCTACACAGTTTTGTTTTGTTTTGTTTTACTGAATTTTTCTTATCAAGGTTACAAAGAACAACAGATCAAAAAAATGGAGGACCTGAGGTGCTATCCTCCTGGATGATTATATTTCAAAGGGATAGCTCCAAGTCCTGAGAAACACCATTCCCTGAGTGGTAAAGCAACCATTGGCCTTCTAATATCAAAGGGACAGGGAAAAATTAGTAATTACAAGTTTTCTAAGGTAAATGACCTAAGAAAAGTGAACCTATGCTCAAATAGAAACCTGTTTAAAGTTTGTCAAGCAGAGAGAACTGTTAAGGCCCTCTGGATCATGACAGAAAAATGGGTCTCAGTTTATCTAGCTTGAAAATTAGGGTCTCAAAAAAAAAAAAGTCTTTAAAAGTGAAAATTTAAAAAGGGAGAGGGAGAGAAAGAAGGATCCTTCAAAACAGTTTTCTGAGAAATAATTTCTTAACTTTACACTTGCCCAGTTGCTGGTTGACACTAGCATTTTAAACAAGATCATTCCAGATTTTAACTATCTCCAAGTCTAGGAAGGAAGAGAAGAACAAATAATGGTAACAACAAAGGTAAGGATTATAAGAAAGAGGCCTTTACTGTAAAAGTGATACAGTGATGATATCAGAACCTCCAAATATGCTACAAGGAAAATATCCTAACTCCCAACCTGTTGGATACACCAGTCTGTGTTCTCTAAAAATTGAAAAATGAATTCTAGGAACAACAGAGGTTAAGAATACAAAGATATTCAGAGAAAGCTCCTGCTAGAGGAATAGGAAGGGTCCTAAATGGATAGCCAAGGACCAGGTTGCAGCTCTGATCAACCAATACGCTAATAAGTACACTTCTTAGGTAACATTGATCCAATTGGGAATCAAGTCACTTGGGCATGGAAAGATCAAAGAACTCAGGTTGGTGGGGAATCTGGGCTCTTGGCTGCCCACTTTGGTTACTGATACCTATCTAGCCTTTTTAAGACCAGGTGTTATCACTTATTCACCCCTTGGGAAGTATGTAGGTCTGGTCCTTTTGCTGTTTTCTTGAGGCCTGGCCTCCAACTGATGCATCTCTGGTCACAGCTGTACCGAGTTTTCACTTTTTGTCTCCCTGTCTCCCTGCCCAGCCCTGTCTGACTTCCTACAATATTCCTACCCAATTTAGATGTCTATAATAAATACACTTTGGCAGCACAAATGCTAACAGCAGCTCACGTTTATAAGCACTTATTTTCTAAGAGCTTTACATTGAATCATCACAAAGTCTCGTGTGATACACCCTTATTTCATACAAAAACCGAGACACACAGAGACCGAAATAATTTGCTGAAAACAATCGCGATTACTAATTCTAGTACCCGGGTTCCAGGGGCTGTGCACCTATGGCAGGCCAAAAGAATGGTACAGGTCTTATATGGAAGTATATTTGTTGAGCCATGGAAAACATGCAGGACTTGTAAGGTGAAACACTACAGCAGGGAAGTTGGATGCTAGGGAAAAATACTATTTTATGCAAGAGCCATCACCCAATTTCTGTCGGTCCATCACAGATGGCAGGTGAGTTCAGACCCGGAACATTGGAAAAGCAGGACCCCAGTGTCTTAGCACTGCTTTCTCAAGGGCAAGCACTTTCTCCTTTATGGCTCCGAGACGAAACGAATACGAGAAGAGCTCCCACTAGAAGCTACAGCCCCAGGGACGTCCCCCCGTGACACAGCCTGGGATCTGGTTCTTGGAAGGTTACCAAAAACCCCCCAGGGTCAGAAAAAAACGAGGAAAATGCAACTACAGCTACCTAGAAAGTGAGCGTCCTTTCCAGTCCCCTTTCATTTTCGGATGCAAATGAGGATGGCGGGCAGATAAGGTTTAAGTTACCACAGCCTGGGCCTAAACCGAAAATGGAAGCAAGCCAGAGATTCCAGCCCTCGGGCCCGGCCTGACCCCCCGGAGCCCAGGCCTCGTTGCCCCGCCCGTCTCGAGGACTCACGCCCAAATTACCCAAGAGGCTGTGGGGCCCTGACCCGATTAGAAACTCGGCGGCGATGGGTGTGGCCAATGAGCGCTGGGATCGCTGGTGTGGTAGCCAATGAAAAATTCTGCCTGGCAGCCCCGCCTCCGCCAGATTGAGCTAATTTGTCTGCCTCTGGGGAGCAAGATCTATTTTGGGAAACTGCGGCTGCAGCAGTGCCCAACAGCTAGAGATGCAGAGCTTGGGGCTTGGGATACCCTCCCAGCCCTGTGGAATTGTGGAGGTGCTGCGCCCTTTTGCGGTAGCGAGCAGAGCAAAGCTGGAGGCGGACACAGCAGAGTCCTCTGCCAATCGCATCCAGCTTCCATACCTCCCACTTCGCCCCACCCATCCAAAGCCTGGTCCTTTCGGAGCGGTGGCCCACTTTAAGCGAATTGTGTAATGCTAGGCTCCTTTTCCTGCCTGTGAACAACCGCAGTGTCCTCTGAGCAGCCTTTTCACTTAGCCACTGCAGGAAACCCCCTCTGACCCCATGTTCTGGGTTTATTGGGCTGTCTTTGGGTTCCCTCGGTAACAAGTGCCTTTTCCCATCGCCTCTCCCCTATCGTTTTGGCACTTACTTACTTTTCTGCCTTCCCGCTAGTGTGTGGTTCATTTTAAATCTTTGGCAGGAGTACCTGGCCTCAGAAATGCTGTAGCACTTATTTCTTCAATGACACGTTAAACTGAATTCTGAGGTATTAACAGCAACAACAAACTAAAACTGTAAGAATGAGAAGGGAACGTCCACAGCCCTGTAACTCTGAAGGAGAGCCGTTAGGCACGTGTTAGTGACCTCTGAAATATTGTTTAACATTAGTAAATATGGTCTGTCCAGGACATGAAAACCAAACATATTTTAGAGCCTGTAGAAACATTCTTTAAAATATCACCTTTTCGGGTTTCCAGTATGATTATATCCATTTGTCTTTATTTTTCCAGCCTATCTTCTGCTTGCTTCTTCAGCTCAATCCTGATCCTCCTTACCCAGCTCTGGACTTAGAAAGACCTGCGTGGACTGTGTCAACAGTTTCCCTTACCTCTAGTTTCTACTGGGCTCAGCGAGGGAGAAGCAAAGGCAGATGAGCGGGAAGCAGAAACAGGAGGCTGAGGTATCACAGTAAGCCTCTGACATGCTCTCTAGCAGAATTATGGCAAGACCATTTGAGTCCTTTTCCCTAAAATCTTATCTCCTTTTGCATGGCGTTTTGCAAGTTCTAGAACCAAACCCTCGCTTTACCTCTTCATGTATAGCTGCTCTGATAGTATTATTATACTTTCCCTATATCCCACCAGCACCTTTATAATCAGTTATTAAATTATCCAAATGATCATAATTTGGGCATGTCTTTTGTTCCCTGAGGATACCCCAATATGAGACCATTCCCCTTTACTTAGCAACAGAATAGCCCGGATGGAAACATTTAGAGGCTGTGTGATACAGAGAAAAGAGCCCGGACTTTGGAAATGGACAAAATTAGGTTTACTGTCATTTATGCATTCATTCATTCATTCATTTGAAGAGTATCTGACATATCATGCCGCCTGTTCTCTAAAAACCCTCGTCTTCTCCCACAGAAGTGGCTCCTAGTAACCAACCACAGTGAGATATCCATCCACCTGCCATCACTGTAGTTGACACAGCCAAGCTTAATTAAAACATCTCTCCTATGAATCGGAGTGTGATACAATGGAAAAGGCCATTTTTAATTAGAATAGGCAGAGACTCGGCTATGAAGCACTTGTCTTCTGCCATGTACATGAAGAAGCAGATAAGATTAACATGTAAAGAGAATAATTTGGAGTCAGAGAACAGAAGGGAGCAGAGATAAAAGACCATGTCTACAGAGAAAAAGCCTGAAATAGTGGCTGCCCTAATTTTCTCAGCCTTACAGACCCAGCTGCATTCTTGCTCTTAAATTCTGTGAAATAGCCTTACATATGTATAATAAACTCCATTCTTTGCTTAAAGCTGTTTCAAATAGATTTCTTTTTTTTTACTATTTTATTTAAAAGGAAAAAAGCAGAACAAAACAAAACAGTGTAAGGGTACAAGTAATTCAGAACTACAGAAAAGCAAAAAACAAAAAACTGTAAGCTATAGATTACTCGCTATCATCTTAGAAACGGTGTTTCAGGTCACAGGATCAAAGCACACAAAGCGAACATTCAAACAGTGAGACTGCACACAGTTGTGTTCAGTAATCCAATCCAAAATATTAATGTGGTCTTCTATGTAACACACCTAAACACCCTTGCTGTTGTATCCTTCAGGGCACTTTTCTTTCCCTCTCTTTATTACAACAAAATTTACACATTTTGGGCTTTATTGTTCCCTTAGATCTTATTACTTTTTTTTAAGAGAATAAAATCAAGCATGATAAAACAAAGCTGTCAGTCAAAACCAAGGATAGACATAGCACATGATGTAAAAACAGAGTACAAGGTTATCAACAATGGTTACCATAATGCCTCTTGCATCCTTAAGAAGAATTGTCTATCTCTTTAGGTATTATAAAGTTAAACAAAACAGTAGAGAACAAAACCAGTAAAACCTAAACTTTGTAAATCTTACAGCATCTCACAAGAGGATAATAGTCAAACCAGAATGGGCATCATATTGAATCTTATTGCCTTCAAAGTAGTTGCCTATACTCTGACACTTGATACTTTCATACAGAGCAGAATAGAGTCTAATCAGTCAAAACAAGATAACGGGGGTATTACAGGACTTCAAGTTGATAGGAAATCAAAAAAGTTACTATATAATATATCCTGCTAGATTTTTGATTTTTTCCCCTTAGTTTAAAAAAGGAATTTAAAAAATTTAATAATTTTTTAATGAACAAGGGAGAGGATGAGATAAAAGGGAGCATAACATCATAACAATACAGGTTAAAGCATGACACTTTCAGCAACCTAGTGCTTCACCACCAAATAACCCCACTTAATAGTAGTTACCATAGTGTCTTTTTCTTTGAAATATTTGAATATGACTTCATATGCTATAGCATCAAACATATCAAGACTGTGTAACACCATTCAAGTGGATGAAAGCATTGTAGAGTATTTAGAACCAGCTAACAGAAAAAATGATCAATGGTTTCTATATTGTCTCTTTGCCTATAATAATTTTTGTTTATACTACCACATACGATAAAATCCAGCAAGCTACAACATGATAAAATCAATGGAGACAGAAGAGCCACAGTTTGGTGTGGCTTTAAGACAAGATGGTATTAAATCGGCACTAGCTGTTATTATGTCTTATTTTCTTCAAAGTAGCTGTTCATTGCATCACCGTTTTTGTATGTTTCTTTGCCCTCCAATCCTTCGTCTTCCAGGTGATATCCTATTTTTGAGTGTTTTGTTGGTGCTTTTGTTCCTCTAAGGATTGAGTTAATAATACTCCCATTCCATTATTGGTACTTACAAATGAAGATATTATTATTGTATTTATTTATTTCCTTCATCTCCATTTTCATTTTCCTCCTTATGGTAGGCATTTTTGTGTATACTTAATGTGCATGTTGCTCATGTGTTTTCTCAATATAACTACTGTCTTGCAGGCATGTATTTTTAAATGTACTTTAAAGCTACTCATTCTGTATCTCAGTTTATGTCTTAGTTTTTTGCACTGGGCACAGTTTTTTCAGCCAGGTATTAACATTCATAATCAATTTTTTCACATTGATGCTTAGTAGGAATTATGTTGTACTTATCCACTCTTCCTACAATAAACTCCCCTGTTGTTCTCATATCCACCTACTTCTTTGTAACTTTGCACTGAATATCTTTATTTCAGTACCCTTCTGGACTTAGGAATTTCTGGGCTGCTGGCTATGACTCTAATGTACCTAAATAATGCTAGCCTGCTTTCCAAAAGTGGCAAGTGTAGCAATGTAAGCTCCTTATCAGTAAATTGCTTGTTTATGATCTTTGCCTTTTTTTCCTAGTGGGTTTCTGTCTTGTCCCAGTTTGTTTGCTTGTATAGTCTAGAAATACAGTATTGCCTTGTTTTAGCCAAAGCAAATATTTTCTCCATTCTTTTCATCTGTGTGTTAACTTTGTCCATGTTGCCCTATAGAACAGAAATACTTAAATTCTTTTGTAATCAGACTCCTCAATGTGTGCCTTGGGGTACTTTTCAAAGCATTGAGATATGCTCTCTTGGTCATGCCTGACATCTCTAAATCTGAGTTCATTGGTCACATCCCTTTGGCTATTCCATCCACTCCTCTTCATTGAACTCCAAAGTAATTTTATTGACTAAATTTCATCTTGAGACTTTCCCACATATAGTTTTGAGCTATAAAAATCATTTATTTTAACTATTTAAAGGCAATTTCTTGTATCCTTACACATACATATTATTTTATCTCCTTGACTATCAGGAATTCAATGGCATGGTTACTTTCTCTCAAGATTTTCCTCTCTCTCTCTCTCTCTCTCTCTCTCTCTCTCTCTCTCTCTCTCTCCCTCATTCTCTCATTTAATTAATCAGTTCCATCTGTGTGGGACGTGATTTGATTCAAAGTAGCAATCTCTGCTGTGTCAACTTCTTCTGAGGGATGACATTTTCATTAAATTAACTTCCCTTGCCCCTTCTGGAATTTGAATTTTATCTAAATTTCATTATTTTTGTTGAGATTTGTGACTTAGTTTACCTGTTTTGACAGCCTGTGGTATATTTTTATGATATCACTTCTTTTCCACTCCTTTATCCTTACCTAAATTATTCTTTTTGTTTCTACTGTGGATATAAAATATCATAAAATATTTTCAAAATGTAAGATGTGACTTCTTCCTTTGCTCTTTTGTTTTTTTTTTTTACTTCTCCTATTTTCTTTTGTCTCTTTCTTCTGTTCCTTCCTTCCCTCCTGACCCCTTTTCTCCCTTTTTTCTTCCTTGAATTTTACAAATGGCAGAGGCCAGGGCTAGCTTTTTAGAGATTATATCAAAGAAACTGCTTCTGTCTAAAAGTAGCTTCCCCCACAAATATGTGTATGTGTTCCCTGATCAGAAACCTCTTTCCAGCTGCTCATCAGAACTTAGTTGTTTCTTTAGAACAATGTAATTAATCTGCTTTCACTGTCAT